AATAGATCTAAATAGCTGGACATTCCACGTGTCTTGATCGTTCGGGAAAGTGACCGGAGATGGCGGGATTATGACGTCATCAAGCTCTCGAAGATTGAGAATCACGTCCTTCCCTCCCTGCTTTTTCCATCTCTGTTCAAAGTTATAAAGAACATCCCAAGCAATTGGCCCTTCCAAGCGGGAATGAATGTCGTGCCATGGCTCCCGAGGTCCACCTTTCGCGATTGACGCGCCTGTGAAATTCGGTTGATGGAAGTCGTCGTGGTGGGCGGTGTCTAACGTCCTGAATAGTGAATGGAATGGCGTGTCATATCGCCCGTCGCACAAATCCAGACCACCGACGAAGCTAACGATTCTCCTCCTCCCCTTCCGTGATGACGACGATGATGGCATTTCATGATCCACCACCACGATCTTCTGGTGATGAGTGAACATGGCAGAGATCTGTAAATCCTGAACGAAGCTCCCGCCATTGTCAGGATTCCTAGGGCACAATATACAATTCACATCAGTTCCTTTGAAGAAATTTGCAGTTTCTTCATCGTGGGTCGCCATCAAACCGTCCTTCTTTAGTTGTCCCACAGAAGTTCTGTCATCCCAAACCAGCATACAAACTCTCACCCCTTCACTTGCCTTTTTCTTAAGAAGCTCGCCTAACATGATCTCCCCTCCTGGCTTTGCTCTTCTCGAATCCCTCACTAGTGAAATCTCAGTATACACTGACCATCCTGTGATGTAAATCAGGTGTTTCGCGTTGCTTATTGAATCAAAGACATCTTCCCAGCATCTATGAGGTTCGTAATGCTTTCCGCCTGAGAGGGGTATTTTCGGTATAAATTTATCGGGGATATGTGCATCTTGGTATAGAGTAACACGACATCCTTTCCGTTGCCCGAAGAAGGTGTATGGAACCCCAGGGTACTTGCTACTCCTAATTCCACCTCCCCAATTTCGGTCTCGTGAGACGTTGAAAAATTGAAGCTTGACATGGATTTTGGAACCTCCCTCAATTGGAGTTTTCTTGTCCTCATCCACAATCTCGACCCACCGGTCGATTTCTTCCCCATCCAAGATTTCACGGACGGGGACATAGGCTCTCCCGATTAAGGTTGCGCCGATAGGGTTGTTATCTTTGACTGTGAATATGACATTTTTGGCTATGTGGGCACAATAGATGTGAAAAGATTCATACCATTTGGGGTTGTTTGGTTCTTGAAGCATTCTGGTTCTTCCAACCCTTGCCTTCTCTAGATCTATGGTAGCATATAGTTTTGGCGTTCCTTTCCCAATACCAACTGTGTCCTCAACATGCTCCATAATCTACAATTATGAATATCCATCACTTTAAAACAAATACGAGTATTATAGACACTCAAATTTGACATTAATGTAACTGACTAAAATGAATATCTTATTATCTCTTCACTGCATAAAAAGATTTATACCTTTCGGAAAAAGTGTCTCTCACCGGCACCCCCGCCACTAATGTGATCAACCTCATAGACTGTGACATGTAGAGTCCCATGAAGTAAATCCCCATCCATTCTTGACATATGTTGCTAGAAAATTTAAGCTACTCAAAATCAAACAATTATTTTGAAGCAAAAAACAATGAGAAATAAGGGAAGCGAGATCTTGAAAAGCTCAAATGTGAGGAAAATGAATATAAGTTACATTCAAAGAAATAGGAAAACAATATGGGTCTGTGGTTACTACTCAAATTTTCTATAGACACCCGGACTTCGCGGCAATGATTGTTGTAATAACATATGAAGTTGTTTTAACAAACAAACATATTTTGACATATGATTTGTGTCCCTAATAACCTCATCCACAAAAAAGCATGCAAATAGAGTTAATAGTGCCATGGGGCTCGCTACTCCACATTCCATATTAATTAGCAACACGGGAATGATGCATTACATTGCAATCTCTCTTCCATAAAACTTTGGCTCTCTAGCATATGTTCAAGATTTTATACCCATGATTCATGAAAACAAAAGTAACCGTAGAACATACTTGTTCAAGCTTCAATCATAATCAGATAGTGTATTATTTGCATTTTTAAATAGGAAAATGTGCAAAAACAATGCTTAAATAGTAGTATAGATGTGCCCCTAAAGTTTGAAAGGTACAAATACACAACTAATATTCCTAAAAGGAGAAAATTATCCCTTACTAACGGTTAATAAATATAAATATATATTTAAGAACATTAAAAATGATTTATGTTATTGTTAACAACAAGCAGTATTTTAAAACTTTAGCATATATTTATGATCGATGCCACAAAGTATATTAAAATATATGTGTTGCAATATAAAAACATTACTTTTTGTTATTGTTAAACTAAAAAAATTACTTATCATTTTTTGAATGATCTTAAATCGTCGAAGATTACAAAACAGTGAGCTTAAATAAAACCAAAGAATGATATTTTTAAAAAATGTAACAAAATGTACAAAGTTTTGCAACAAGACACAAAGTAGTACTTATGAAATTAAAATACATATTTTATGAGGGGGATAAATTGATTTTGTACTATAAAAATAAAGCTAGAGAAAAGTGGAAGTGAAACCTTGTCACTTGTGGTTGAGAGTGATTAGTGGAAAGAACCAATTGTTTGGACATGATCTACACTTCAAAAGCATTCTCAAAAAAATTCATCAAATAATTCAACTGAAACTACCCAAACGGCGACGGTGGTCAGACACACATAGATTTAGGGATATATATATATATAGGGGGCACACACACACGTTCTTTGGCTATTTTGTGCTCCGGCAACGGGTGCAACTTCCACATGGAATATGTAGTTTATACTACCTCCATCTCATAAAGATGTACTCTTCCACTATTTTCCGGTCAACAAAAATTGTTCTTAATTTTTTATTTTTTATATCCGACTTTTATCAAATTTGAGTTTTTCTTTTCCGACTTTATAAAACTTTTAATGTAGTTTTCGAATATGTAAATTTTATTTACTAAAAATAATCTTATTATTGACAGAGATTGGTTAATTTTATGGTCAGTCAGACATCTTAAACCGTGTGAAAACCTTTAAGTGGGATGGAGGGAGTATATTGTTTGTATATGTATTAAATGGTTTTCACTAAACTATAAACAATGATTTCAAAATTGTTAAGTGTCACGTAAATAAATCTGTGATGCAAGGGGGGCAGGGCCACTACTGTTTTGGTTTGTTTAGATTGATTTGGGCGTGTTGTGGTATACATCTCTGGCATTTCAATGTTGTCATCCCTTTCTTTGGTCGCAATAGTAGTTCCTAATTTACTTTTGAAGATTTATTCCTTTATACGTAGTATGAAGTAGTTGGTAGGAAAATGGTGACTACTTGATCTTCTTAATACTCGGAGGGCTTGAAATCGCATTTACGGGATACACACACTCAAGGTTGAAGTTCAGCTTCCAAATTGGTGGTCGGTGGGATCCGGAATTTCGAGGTGAGTCGTGGGCAGCATGTGACCTGCATATTTGCTAGGCTTGAAAAATGCTTAATTTTGTCCATTTCATTTTAAAGAAATTAGAGAATTAGAATATAAATGATTTTGGTAAATCAATATTGGTTAAAGATTTTGGAAATCAGTACTCTACTCCTATTCGAATATGCGAATAACTAAAGTTTATAAAGTTCTGAGGGGCACGAAAAGTATCTATACCAGTACTTTTGTTTGTGTTAAGCATTTTTGTCTGCCGCATACCACTATTGTCTGTGCACAAACATCATTTATGTACAACATACACTGTCATCTCTGCAAAAGGCACAAAAATCAATGTTTATGGACAAACTTTTTTTAACGTGACCTAATTTTGTAGACATTGATTATTTTTTAGCGTAAATATTGTGTCCTAAACAAACAAATTTCATCAGTATTTTGAACGATGTTGACAAGTTTTAAGATACATAAGATAATAATTTCGGTGACTTTTTATCTCCAATTTGTTTTCCCACAATTTTTCATGTCCGATTTGTTTGCCAGTGACCCTCCATCTCCGTTTGCTTTTATAATCTTGGAAGATAATAATGATGTGGGGAAAATATAAGATGATGAAATGTGATGAAGATGGAAGGTAAACGATGATGTGTATGGAAGATGATGGAAACAATGATTGTGAATATAGTGATGGCTAGCTAAGACGATGAAATTGTGAAGTAATAAGCTACATACGAATGAGAGGGATACGGTGAAAAGAGAAGAGAGAATGAAATGAGAGAGAAGAAATGGTATACAGTGGTTAATTTTTAGACAGTTTATAAAGTATATACAAAATAGATACATATAGTGTTTTACACCAAACATTTTATTAAGGCGTACTATTAATTAAGAAAAAGCTTTCAACGGAGTATTTCTGGTTGTCGTAATAGATTACTATAATTGCGTGAAAAGTGTCAACCTTGAGATGATGAATTTACTCACACCACTCAGACCAAAACAGTACATTTGAACTTATTGGAATACATTACATCACCGATACCTAGTTATTTGTTCACATGGACCAAGGGGCGAGCTTCATGGTCATGATCATAAGGTATATTCAGAAATTTTTGGAAGAACATTTTAATATAAAAAACATAGCACTAAAAAACTTTGATTTTCAATTGATTGATGAAGAGTAAATTTAGGTTAACTATTTCAATACAAAATTTACATATTTGTAGTTTATGATGATCATGATCGATGATTAGCAAGTGTGACTACTTTCATTTGGACAAACTTCTTGTAAAATGTGTGGTAATTGATAATGAGTTTACCAGTTTTTGAATTAAAATTTATAGGATAACACATCAACGGTTGCATATGATGAGGATAAGGTCTCAATCTCATCTTAAATGAGAATTGCAGAATATCAGGGAGGCTATTTGATACACTTCAGGCGAGTGATTTCTTATCACTGATATATTTCTTCTAATCTTTTCATCCATATTAATTTTCTTTTACTTCTCTTGAAAAAGGTCAGATAAATTTGCGTTTGATACATTTCAGGCGAGTGATTTCTTATCACTGATAAATTCATCACGAATATAAATTTCATTTACTCCAAAAGAAAATGAGATGGTCATTTTTCAATCTTAAAAGGTCCAATTGCCCATCATTGTATCCTCAAAATAGTTGCAAAGAGATTGTTGGAGATGAGGGGTTCAGTTGGACTTAGAGGTTTAAGGAGCAAGAGCCGTCCCAGCTTAGGCACCATATATACTATCTATATTTTTACCATTCTCTTGGAACTTTTCGAACGTTTTTAGATCCATCTTTGGATCAAAATATCCGTGAAGGCGTCTTGTTAATTAAGTTATACTCCGTACATTTTGTAAACGAGGAACCCTAAATCCCAAAAATTCTGGAAATCGAACGCCCGGCAAACAGATCCGACTATCAGCTTACTTCCCAGCTGCGCGTCGACGCCACTGCGGAGCTTACCTCTCGCCGCCTCCATCAACCCTTCTTCCCGCCAATATCCCATTAAGTCTCTGCAACCGGGCACAACAACCCATCATCACCGCTCAATACCTGCCGCCGGGAAATAACTCCATTCCGACGGAGCCTGCATATATCTGACCTCGAGTCCGATCGATTATACGCCACATGGAATGTCCGGCACGTGCCCATGGCGTGCCCGACTAGTGTCCAACTCAATATGTGTCCAGGTTTAGCGTGCCCGCGCCTTTAATAGGGTATCATTAATTCTATTCAGTCGATTCATTCAGTTTCTCAATGGGTACCAATGATTTTGATGGAAGGGTAATCAAATATACAATCTTGGCCGGTGGGTGCCCTTGAAAGCCAGGGTTGCCTCTGAACATGCAATCTCTGCGTCTGGTACGCAGATTTGGAACTACACCCGGTGTTCCAGTGGCCGCCACCGTTGCATCTAAAGACAAACTCACCATTGCTACTAATAATAGATCGATCGCCAAGAAAAATCCCATAAAGGTGGACGAACCTGCTCTTATAAAGCTGAAAAAAGAAAGAGATCCCGATAAGCTGTTTCATCTGTTCAAGGAAAATGCACACAATAAGCTTGTTATTGAGAATCGGTTTGCATTTGAGGACACAGTTTCTCGCTTAGCCGGAGCTGGCAGATTTGATTACATTGAAACCTTACTTGAGCAGCAGAAGGCTCTACCACAGGGTAGACGTGAAGGTTTTATAATTCGCATTATAATGCTGTATGGGAAAGCTAGAATGGTGAAACATGCTATCGATACTTTTTATAATATGCATTTATATGGTTGCCCAAGGACTGTTAAGTCTCTTAATGCTTCTCTCAAGGTTTTGGCTCTGTCACGTGATTCAGAGGCAATTTTGTCATTGCTTAGAGATGTTTCTTTGAAATTCAATATTCGTTTAGATATATTTTCATTAAACATTATCATCAAGGCATTTTGCGAAATGGGTATTTTGAATAAGGCTTATCTGGTAATGATTGAGATGGAAAAGGAGGGAATTAGTCCAGATGTAGTTACATATACAACACTTATATCTGCCTTTTACAAAATTAATAGAGCAGAGATCAGTAATGGCTTGTGGAATCTTATGTTGCTGAAGAGATGCATGCCTAACATTGCAACTTTTAATGTTAGGATACAGTTCTTGGTCAATAGAGGACGAGCATGGGATGCCAATAAGTTATTGGAATCAATGCATAAGCTTCAGATAAATCCTGATGAGATTACTTATAACTTAGTAATCAAAGGATTAAGCCGTGCCGGCTTTCTTGATGTGGCTAAAAGGGTCTACTCTTCTATGCATGGTCATGGTTTGAAGTCTAATGAAAAAGTTTACCAAACCATGATTCATTACCTCTGTAAAGCCGGAGAGTTTGACTCTGCTTATACAATGTGCAAAGATAGTATGAAAAATAATTGGTTCCCAAATGTAGATAGTATTATTATTCTACTTCAAGGGCTACAGATGCATGGTGGATCTGTTGGGTTGGGAAAGGCTCGATTCATCATCAGTTTGGCCAAGAGAAGAGTTCCTCCCTTTTCTGAAGATAAATTGAAGGCAATGGAGTCCCTAATATCAAAATGAGTAATAGAGGGAACTGGACTGCCAGCCTCCTTGTTTATGCAGCTCAACTGAAGCTGAAAGCTGCCCTCATTCTAATTTTTGGTGGACCATAGATGCAATGTAATGGATGAATAACTGCAAAATACAATTATTTATTGTATTTTTGCAAAAAAAATGGCAATCCAAGAGTTCTGAATCTACAACAGTGGTGACATAAGCTGTAAGGTACCCCCCTAAAAAAGTACTACGTACATTGCATGCATAAGCCTATTTCTAATCTTTTTCCAAGGCACGATCTCTCTCTATCTCTCATGCATGTAAAATGCTTATGCTTGTACAATAATATGTCACACCAGTATGTGTAAAATGATACAATACTCTTATTTGATGTTAGGTTAATGTAAGAGTGTCATATTAATGCGGATGCAGAAAGCAATTAAAGAATCTATGCATCACAGGTAATCATGCTTATATATCCAATCATCACACATGTTTGCTTCTATTTATCTTGTCTAGTATGCTAGAATTGTTCTTTTAGTTTATTTTAAAGTCATTTTATGTTCAGATTTTTTGAAGAAATGGGAATCAGTGATCCACATAGCACATGCTGACACGCAGATATATAATTGAACAGTTGTAGTTATACAACTTACAGAAGCTTTGTTGCACAATCAAGTTGAAGATATGGTGGTTGGAGGGAGTATCTTCACTAAGGCTCTGTTTGGATGGAGGAGTTTGGTGTAGAAGGCTTTGGCGTGGTTAAGGTATATCTTGTTATGGATTCGAGAAAAGTTCAATCACTAATATAATATATACCGATATAATATCTAATCCACATTTTTTATGTTTTGATCAACATTTGATTTATCAAGATAAAGACCAAGCCTTCCCCTTCTAAAGCCTCCCATCAAACAGGCCCTAAGTCCACAACTCTGTTGTCTGATTCGATACTTGTGAGACCTGAGATTTGCTGCTCTATGAGTTGTGATTGAGCCACATGAGAAACCAGTATATACATTTATATGTATAAATTGGATATCACTATTATTAGTGAAGTTAAAAGTGCTGCTAGGTCAATGGTTTTGGCTTGGTGGTAATGGAATGCCTTTTCTGTAGAAGCTGAAGGCTGATGAAACTATGAAGAGGACAAAAGAGGAATGATTTCCCAACTTGTGTTGGCTTTGCGGCAATTTTTTAGTATTACACACGCAGTAGATACTTGCCAGATGATTGTAGAGATGGCCATTGCTTAATGATTACTGTGGGAATACCATTCTTGATTTTTTTGGTGTACTGGTAAATAACAATTATTTTGTGTAGATACATGTTTCCTGTATAGGAATTCTCAGAAAGGGAAAGGAAGAGTACCCGAATTGTAAGTTCGCATATGGGTCATTTTTCAGTTTATGGTATCCACATCTCTTAAACAGTTTCTAATTTTGCTTTTCATCTGTTACCTCATCCGTTCCTTTTTTATCTGCCATGTTTGATTTGCATAGTTTGTTACGGAGAATGTAACAAATGTTTTGGTAGTGAGATTTTGTCCTGAACTAAAGAAATATATACTACGTATTTCTTAGAGGTGGTGAATATGGTCTAGTGACGGCTCTGCTGTCCAAAAAGTTAAGAACTTCAAGGATTTCATTCATTGGTTTTATTTTCAAATCATATCAAACTTAAGATTTAGATTTAGACAATAGAAAAATATACGTAATACTAGACCAATAGATCTTACGGACCATTTGATGAGACCAGTTCTATGCAGACCAAACATAAATAAAAATAGGGAAAGTTCCCGAAATGGGACTAAAAAAGTTTGAAAATTCTAAAATAGGACTGTCATGTTTTTATTCCCAAAAGAGGACTAATTACTGTCAAAGTTGGAAAATACTGCCATGTTTGAAGTCTGGTACTGCCAAAACATGACAGTAATTAGTCCTATTTTGGGAATAAAAACATGGAAGTCCTATTTTGGAATTTCCAAACTTTTTTAGTCCCATTTTGGGTAATATCTCATAAAAATAGGGAAAATTCTCGAAATGGGACTAAAAAAGTTTGAAAATTCTAAAATAGGACTGTCATGTTTTTATTCCCAAAATAGGACTAATTACTGTCAAAGTTGGAAAATAATGTCATGTTTGAAGTCTGGTACTGCCAAAACATGACAGTAATTAGTCTTATTTTGGGAATAAAAACATGAAAGTCCTATTTTGGAATTTTCAAACTTTTTTAGTCCCATTTTGGGTAATATCTGATAAATATATCAGGCTAGACTTGAATACACTAGAACAAATTTAAGCAAATTAGGTCAGACTAAGTAAATAAACCAGAAAGGTTATAGATGGTTACCGGTGTATGCTGGTTTAGAACCAAAATCTCAAGTTACTCCGTATTAGTTAAAACAATTGAAAAAATAAAAATGTAGCAAGTGATTGAATCCACCAAACATAAGCATAATCTAGCTACAAAGTATAAAATGTGGCAACTCAGCAATGTGAGTATCCCAGTTTCATGTGAAACAAGAATTGAATCTCTGGCTATCAAGGATAAGTAAGGCATTGGCTCCCTTTGGGTGTTTGGCATTTTCAACAAAACGCTGAAAATTTTGACCTACAAACGCTGCATTTTGCAGCGTGTTGGTGTCTAGCCGCTGAAAAACAAACAGCCTCATTGTCAATAGAGAATTTGCTTTCTTCTTTAAGATTTCACCAAAAAATTTAAGTTTTTTGCAAAAATAGAGAAATCGCAATATGCCCAGCCACTAGTGTGCTTGGCAAAAGGCCAATGGCCTTAGTTAATATAACCATTATATTAGTTCTCTTGTAAATGGTAATAGCATGGTGTTGCATAATACTCCGTATTAATAGTTTGTAAAAATGCGCTACATTGCCTACATAAATCGGTTGTTTAGTTATTTACGACGAGGGGGCAGTTTAAGTGGAAAAGGGTATTCTTGTGAAAACTGAGAATAAATTTAGACTCTTGGTTACTTTAAAATTGATACAATTGATCATTTTGAATTGAAAAAATACACGGTGTCATAAATGGGAAATACTTTTTTTTAAATAAAACTGATACCATTGAAAACGAATACAGAATGACAGGAAGAAACTACATGATTACCAATATTTCTTAACATGGAGTAAATTAAACAAATAAATAAACAAACACACAAGAGTAATGTTGAATAAACAACTTGTCCAGTCAAAGCCTCAGCTAATTTTGTTAAGAATCCATGAGGCCCATCATGCTGAAGTGACTAGGCATTCATATGAGGAGCTTCTCAATGGCATTCTTAAATTCAGTTATTTGAGCTTTCAACTCGCTTCCCTCATTGCTAGTAACTGAACAAGCAATCACTGGCCGAGTAACACCACAAGCTCGGCCAAGAGCTTCTTTGGATTTAACAAACACATATGGGACATTTTTATCCTCAGCAAGAAGTGGAAGGTGAAGTAGAATTTCGAGTGGTTCAATATCAGCAGCCATCACAATAAAAACCCAGAAATTCCCTTGTTTAGTGTCTTCGTAGCTTCATTAGCACCCTTTTTAAGCTGCTTATAGTTGGCATCTTGTGCTACCAAGTCATGTATTACTATGGTGAGTTCTGCCCCGGCCAATGGATAAGCTTTAGGGTTCACATATTTTTCTGCCATTGGTGGTGTTGAACGCCGCCCTAATTCTTCACGCCCTGGTTAGCTCTGTAGTGACACCGCTGCCCGCTCTACTTCACAAAAATGGGAAATACTTAATATAGTAAAATTGGGTGTGTTATATTTCAAAGCTCACGTGGCCAAAAATATCACTAAGCAATTTTTCAAAAAGATCTTTTAGTGTGAATGTTGGTGCACTTTTGTATTACACAAATGCATCTTTTTCTTTAACAATGCATAATTATAACATTTTTTTCTTAGTTTTTACTTTGGTTTCGATTTGAACCCGTTTTCACATTATGGAAGCTATAAGCTTTAGACAAGGTAAAAAGTTCATTTCAAGTTTCACAATCTTATGCGCCCAAAAGCTAGGTAAGTTTAACACTTTGGCAACATGAACCAAAAAATGAAAAAACCGTTCTGGCCGAGAAAATATATAGTAAGACCACTAGTGTTGGCACTAAATAGTTCTTGTATAACTAAAAATATGGAAGCCTTGGCACATGTGTTGAGGTGCATGGTGTGACCATGAGTAGGTCATGGGTCCAACTCTTGGGAGCGAAGTCCTAAAAAAGGGAAGGTAAATGTTTGTTACGTGACCAACGTCCAACCTTGTAGTGGGACCCTTCCGAGGACTCTCATGGACCTGGGTTGTTTTTTTGTTAGTTCATGTATATATAACTAAAACATGGATGAAGAATAAGAGAGATCGTCTCTAAAGGGAATACTAGTTCTTCATTTATCCATATATGGGGGAATGAAGCCCTGTTATTGACTGTCACTCTCATCATCAGAGTATTCCTCTTCATCTCTGTGTTTGACACAAACCCTATTACCACCTCTTATTAAGGTAGCTAGCTCCTGAATTGAACATGAAGTGCTTCTCTCCATCTTATCCCCAAGTATTTCTGTCTGTTCTACAAAGCCATAGCCGATCAGTTTATTCCTCAACAGCTCACATGTTGAGGCATAAGGCGGTATTCCTTCATCAATCATCATTTCAAAATATTTACAAGCTTCCTCAAGTTTTCCCTTCTTCCTGCAGAGGCCATGGACCATGACGGCATATGTAGAGACTGAAGGGTAGTATCCTCTTCCTTCCATACCTTCCCAAACTTTCTCTACTCTATCGAACCTTCCTACCCTAATGAGCATTTTAAGAACCATATTATACGTATGACGATCTGGTCGGACACCATATTTGTCCATTCTTGAGATCAGCCTAAGAGCTTGATTAACTTCATTATGATCACAATGGAAAGCTAAAATCGTATTACAACTCCAACAGTCAGGATTTGATCCACTATCAACCATCTCATTCAGCAGTTGGTATGCATCTTCCACTTTATTTAGCTTACAGAGTTTCTTGATGATGCAATTGTAAGTGAAGGTGTTAGGGACAAGACCATGGCTTTTCATCCTGTCAAGAACTTTGAAAGCAGAGTGGATGTCATTTGAAGTGCAATGAGAATGAATGAATATGGAGAATGTAAAAGCATCTGGTTCCAGCCCCATAGACCTCATCTTTGTGAAGAACTTATAAGCCTCATCAATCTTCCCTCCCTTACATAGAGACTCCAAGAGACGGTTACAAGCAAGCAGATGAGCCGAACATCCTCTGTGAAGCATTTCATCGAACAGTTTCTGTGCCTGGGAAAATCCATCCTTTTCATCTCCCCACCCTCGGATCAAAATGCTATAACACTTTGGGCAGGGTGGGTAACTCTTCTTGATTCTGTCAAAGAAGTGTTGGGCATGGGGTGTGTGCTTTCTTTTGCAAAGCGCATACAGAAGGTGGCTGAGATCATCCACACTCGGTTCTATTCCGAAATCAGACATCTTGCTGAAAGCCCTAATGGCATCTTCAGGAAGGTTAGCCCTGCAATAGGCCCTGAACACATTCGAGAAAATTTCGCAGGAAGGTTTAGTGTCTCTGAGAAAATCCCATAACAACGGGAACTGCTTGCTACGTCCTAAGATGTCGACAAGAATGCGGTAGCTATCTTCGCTGTGCGTAAAGCCCGGAAGATTTTGAGCCCATGTGAAGAATCTGTGATCAGAAAAGCCCAGATTTTTGCACCGTTTGAGAACTTGTTCAACCAAATCGACGGAGATTTGGGAGCGGAATGGGCTGAGGGCCGACTCGATATCATGATGCGGACTTCTGAAGTCGCTGAGAATCCGGGAGAGCTCGTTGACGAGGTGCGGAGAAGAAGGGTCTGAGCTTTGAGGGTGTGAGTGGGTTTGGTCGGAAAGAGACACGGACGTGAAGAGCCTGGCGCCGCCGCACAGGGGTGGAGGAGATGAAGAAGGGACGGGCTGATGATTTCTGTAATGAAAAGGGCGGTGAAGAAGGCGAAGAGTGGAGAGTAATATGCAGAGCGGATGAATGCTTCTCCTCCTGCCAATGGCGAGAAATTCCGTCGACATGGTTGCAAAGTGCAAACCCAGCAGCAGCGGGTAGAAGGAAGGAGTTGGTTGACCACATAAGGAAGTGGCTGCAAAACTGAACCCTCTTCACTCTTCAATAAGAGCAGTGGATTAAAGGGAGAAAGTAATGTGTGGGAAAAAAAAAGTGAGAAAGATATAAACAAATTGTAGATAATGTTGAGAAATAAAAGAAAAGTGAGTAAAATATGATACAAACAATAAAAAAATTAAAATAAAGGTATAGATAAAATAGTTCATACTTTTGGAATAGATAAAGGAATGGACATCTATGAGAATAATGGAACATGATGCTCTCTAAGGAGCCCTGACAGATATATTTATACTAGTAGGATTTTAATGTAAAGTACAAGAGTAGTCCTATTATAATTCAATTACACCCCCTCAAGCTGTGGGAGAGAAACAACGCGCAGGTTATCTTTTAAAAAATGAAAACGCTGACTTGGGAGACTCTTAGTAAAAATATCTGCCAACTGTAAATGAGTAGGAACATGTTGCACGATCAAATCTCCATGAGCAACTCTTTCACGAACAAAATGGTAGTCAATCTGAATGTGTTTACTTCGGGCATGTTGAACAGGATTTGCAGTCAAATAGGAAGCTGAAATATTATCACAAAGTAAATACATCGGCTCCTGAATCGGGTATCCAAGCTCGAACAATACAGAGCGAATGTGAAGCGTGTCGTGAACAGTATAAGCAATAGCGCGATATTCAGCCTCTGTGGATGACTTGGACACTGTGGGTTGCTTTTTGGTCTTCCAGGAAATTAAATTAGGACCCAAAAATATTGCAAAGGGCGTAGAAATGCTGGAAGTGGAATGACCGGTTTTCCTAAGGGTTTGAAAGGGAAAAATTTCCTCATGGAAACGAACATGACGACTAATATAAACACGACCAGAGGTAGGATTAAAACAACGGTAACCCTTGCAACCAGATGCATAGCCAAGGAAAACACACTGAACAGATCTACGTAATAATTTATTAGCTCATGTGGCCGAAAAATTAGGATAACACGCCGATCCAAAAACACGCATAAAAGAGTGGTCTGGAATACGGTGAAAAAGTTTCTGGTACGGAGAAAGACCATTAAGAGTAGGAGAGGGTAATCTGTTAATAATATATGCAGCAGTAAAAATAGCATCAACCCAATATTGACTCGGAACAGATGCTTCGAGAAGCATTGTGCGAGTTAACTCGAGTAAATGACGATGTTTTCTTTCAGCAACTCCATTTTGTTGAGCTGTGTCAGGACAAGACTTTTGGAAATAAATACCATTGTCATTAAAAAAAATGTTGCATATTATTATTAACAAATTCACCACCCCCATCACTTTGAAAAATTTTAATTTTTTTATTAAAAAGATTTTCAACCAAAGCTTTAAAATTTTTAAAGTGCTTAAAAACCTCACTTTTGTGACACATGGGGTAAACCCAAGTATATCGAGAATAATCATCAATAAAGCATACATAATACTTGAACCCCAAATTAGAACAAATAGGAGATTGCGCCACACATCAGAATGAATAATTTCCAAAGGAAGAATAGAATTATGACTAGCATCCATAAAGGGTAACCGTTGTAATTTTCCTAACCGACAAGCCACACAAGAATGAGTAAAAGGAGAATGACTACATAAAAATTGTTTGAGCTTAAGAAACTATAAAACACTGTCACCGCAATGACCTAGTCTACGGTGCCACACAGGGCTAGATACTACGACTGAAGCTAAGACTAATGGTGATGATGGCGGCAGACGAATGGGATAGAGTGGCCCACTACTGGTAGTTCGTAGAAGCACTGCCCCTGAGGTTTTGTCCTTAATCAAAAAAGAGTTTTTTTTCAAAAATCACAGTACAGTTATTATCAGCACAAAGCCTTTGAATAGAAATTAAATTAAATTTTAACTGAGACACGTAATAAACAGATTTTAAAGTGAGAGGACGACCAGAAGGTAAAGCAACATCACCAATATGGCAAATGGGAAGATGGGCACCATTAGCAACACTAACAGAATTATAGCCAGTGTAAGGAGATTTATTTATTAAAATACCTTCAGATGCAGTCATATGAGCAGAAACTCCCGAATCGGGATACCATAGAGCAGAATTAGCTTCACCAGGAGTAGTCAACAAAGCAGGAGCAGAAGGTTGTGTGAAACGCGAAGGACAAGTTTTAGCGGAATGACCTGCAGAAAAATAAATCTGACAGACAACAGGATTGGGAACAGATCCCAGAATACCCCCATCTGATGGCAAGCCTGCAGAACCAACGTTAGTAATACAAACAAGTAAAGCATTAATATTTAATTGTGACATAGCAGAATTACAGAATACAGTACCCATAGATGTCACACCCCTGCATGTGAAGCATATCCAGGTGGAACTGACTGGCCACCTCCGGGGGTTGTAAACGGACTGCCAGTGAGGAATCCAGTATCCCTGTTGCTGGCCGTACATCAGTGGCGTTCCACGACCTCTGCCCCGACCACCACGGCCTCTCCCGCGACCGCGGCCGTGTCCGCGCTGCTGCTGATTCGGGGCTCTTTGTTGCCCGGCCGGGTTCGGCTGCTGACCAATCGGCTGCATATTTCCTGCCTGTGCACCAGGTTGCTGGCCGGCACCAAGGGTAACAACACCAAAAGCCTGATGTATGGACGAAGCCTCCTGAGAGCGGAGATAGAAGACCCGCTGCTCTAACTCAAGAAAGTGATTGCGAAGTGTCTCAAAAGGAAAATTGTGTGGAAACAATGAGACGGTGGTGAATAGGGACTCATACTCGGGGCCGAGTCCCATAATTGTAGTTTTCACAACTTCCCGAGGCGACACATGGCAGTTTATTGTGGCAAGATCATCCACTAGAATTTTAATTTCTCCTAGGTATTGATCCATAGACTGATCAGGTTTCTTTTCAATGTGATTCAACAACTGCTTTAATTCCATAGATCGAGCCAAACTAGCGGACATCAAACGAGACTCCAAACGCTCCCAAATTTCACATGAATGTTTCAAATCACGAACATCGATAATTACATCCTGAGAGAGGGTTGCAAATAACCATGAGCGGATTGTTTGATCAATTCTTAGCCAAGTAGAGAATTCAGGATTTGGAGTTTGACGATTAAGCACATCTATGGAAGAATCAGATGGTACCTGAATGGAGCCATCAACCATGCCGAGAAGACTTTGTGAGACCAAAAATGATTCAAACTGGGAGCGCCATGTAGTATAATCCTCCACCGTCAAAAGTTTGGTAGTCACAATATTGGTGACATTAGTCGCCACATGAGAAGTTGTTTGGGCGAGTTCAGTCAAGGGAGAGGCGGTGCTGCCGCCTGCTGGTCGAAGAAGAGACATCGTGGAGGAGACTCCGGGTGATCCGATGAAGGTGTTGCCCGCATATGTTGCTGCCGAGAACGGTGGCGGCTCTAGCGAAACGGGTGGAACCGAGGTAGGGGCCGACCAAGGGAATACCGGTGGTAGAGTTTGAAACAAGGAGTATGGCATCGATGTCCGGCTTGGTGACGCAAAATTGGAGGAGAAGGTCACACCAGAAGAGACAGAGGTGACTGCCAGCAGCGTTCCGAAAGAGAGCGGAGCGCTGGTGGATGCCATGCTACTGGCCGCGACTGACGACGTGATGAGAGGAGACGTCGTCGTCGAGCAGGGCACTGCGGATGATGTGGAGGCCGGAGTAGTCATCTTGGCCGAGAACTGGTGGTGGATCAAAGGTCGAAGGCGGCGACAGAAAGTAAAGCCAGGCGTCGCCGAATGTAGAGAGAGAGACCCGAAAAAAATAAATTAAGTTTTTAACTGTGCTCTGATACCATGTGAGAATAATGGAACATGATGCTCTCTACGGAGCCCTGGTAGATATATTTATACTAGTAGAATTTTAATGTAAAGTACAAGAGTATTCCTATTATAATTCTTTTAACATCCCCATTGGAATGTTTGAATTTGCTTCTATTTAAAAAAATGACTTTTTAGTCTGTTTGAGGAAATGCATAGTATTATTACTCTGTATAACTGTATAAGTTAATGCTCTGTAGTGTTTTAAATAGAAGTAATTTTAGTATAAAATATGAAGTTAGATGTTTGGTAAATAAATGATTTTTGTATGAATTAAATATTAAAGTACAAAAGTACTCCAAAAACCTGAGCTATGGTTTAAGAACCAGGATTCGAAAGTTCCTACAATCTTGAACATATGTTTCATATTTTCTTCAAATCTCTTCTACGATATGAGTTTTACTTTTTATCTTATTTCATAATTGTTATTGCCACTTCAATTTGATGATAAATATTATTCCTTCCGCTCTATAAAATTATTCTAACTTGGATACAAATTTAAGAAAGTGATAATATGGTGAAAATGTATAGTTGTGATTGAGTAAGAAAAAAAAGTAAAGAGGGAATTTCTTAAATATGACAAAAACAATGTAAAATTGCAGAAATTGGACCTTTATGTTTTATAGGACTAAAAATGACCTAAAATGACAAAATTACCCTAAATGAAAAAAAATATCAGGTTGGAAGCAATGTGATGCCCTCTATCGATGCCCACGTCTTCTATGTCAACAATGCAATGTGAGAAGTTGCGAGAAGTGTACGCACTATGCCTCATCCGCCCTCTAGCAAGTCTGTCACCATTGCCACCCTTATTTGCGTTCGCCGTCGGCAATTCACCATCCTCCAACTAAGCGAGAATGTAATTTGATATGAATAATGACATTTTAAAAACATGACATTTTCACATTGTTAAAATATAAAATTCTTAGATGAAAAATAAAGGCATTTTGAGACTCAATTTCGTAGGAAATTAGGTAATCATCATAGAGAAAATTGCAGTCGTAGGACCAAATCAGTACTTAACAAGTGACACTTGTATTTTTTTTTTCCATTCTGCTATATGGATCCTTAATGATTTAAAGAACAATAATTTTATGGATTTTTTTACCAATAAATATTACTGTTGTCAATCTTTTTACATCTAGTATGGTTACTTTTTTTTTTTTTGTGAGAAGCGGTAGGAAATTACAGTCTAATAAAAGGAGTCCTAGACAAATCATCTAAGTATGCACTTCTGAC